GGAAGGAAGGAAGGAAAGAAAGAAGGAAGGAATAGACGTAGGGAGGGAGAAAAGAAGGAAAAGGAGAGAGCAAGGGTTGGAGAGAGGAAGAGAGCAAGGTAGGCAGAAGGATTGGAGACTACTAACCATTTACTTTCTGCCTGGACGAAAGGTTGAGTAMTGGTCAGGCCATTGTGGACCTAGGCAAAAGAGGAACTGTTAAATATATCTAATATTAGGTTCCTGTTGTGGAACGTTGCTCTGTGGGCTTTCGCTGCCCAATTTGTAATAAATTGTGAGTTCCACAATACGCGAGAGATCGCGAGAGAGAYATGCATGAAGTTTCCTTTATTACATGGTAAAACTATTCAAGGTTTTAGATTGGTCATATGGATGTTTTCACATGTTTGCACGAAATTAGTGCAAACMTGTCTAACGATACAGGAACACTGTTATGGAATGACTCTTAATGTATTCTATAATATTTTGTATTCTATTTTATGAAATAAACTTGAAACTTGACTAGGTAAGGATTRGGGGAAAACCTTAAGTTTTTGGGCCCCTTTTCTCGATCCTCTCGAGCTTCATAGTTGTTTCCCAAATGTTTTGGGATGACACGTCCAATGGTTTTAAAGGCGATATTCTTTAGTAAAATACAAAAAATATAGAAAGAACTAATTCTGGATTATGATCCCAGTCCATTGAAACCAATATCCAGGGAAATCTTATCCAGGGTAATTCAGCCAATCTGYATGTAATGTCTATACCAATTTTTATGGAAATATTATTCTATTTTAATGCGTAATACATATTTTAAAAATAACAATACATACTTGCATCATTTGGCTCAGCTCTGACATCAGGGGAAAAAGAAAAGAGATTGAAAGTTAGAGTAYAGAGCAGAGGGTTTCGGTGAAGTGGGAGGGAGAAAGGAAGGGGGAGGGGTGGTTTCATAGGCTCCTGAATCCTTTAATTTTTTGGATAAAGTCAAAACTTTAAGTCATCTTACGGGACCAGATTTAGAGGGGAGGGGTGGGGATGGAGGAGTAGCATTATCCGGTGCTACCCACTGCAAGTAAAATTCTGGATTATCTCCAAGACTAAAAGTCAAATTGCAGAACGCCTTACGCAGTACTATATGCCTGCATGTATGCTAAACGACGCATTCGTGCATAGAAATAGTCACTTTCGGCATGATGCAGTACATAGAGYATTTCAACAGGTTCCTGAAGGACGGGGGTTAATGATGGACTTGCTCGTTCGCGATATTATATGGAAAACGAGTGAATAAAAAAAATCAGGCTTTTAACATGTAATACTGAAATTGTTTATTACACATTTAAGGTCGAGAGAAGCTGACAAAATTTGCAGTTTCCAGTTTACCATGAAGTAATATCGTATCACTTCACTGAAAGGGGTTTTACTTCAAAGCTTTATCATAAGGATATCGACCATAATGTGTAATAAAATCAGGTCCCTACTGTTTGGGACATTGTTTTGGCATAGCCCTTTCGTGGTTTAATGCTATTAAAATTTTGTTTGTGGGAAAGTTAATTTCTCGAGACTACTTACCYTCGTTTGCCTGGTCTGACGGGGATTACATTGTATTGTGGATCTGAAGAAAAATAAGAAGTCGAATCGCATTTTTTAAATGAAAAAAAAATCTTTCTTTCAATGTGTCAACTTGAGGTGACGTAGTATTAGTTGCTTATGCATTTCGATCAACTTCCTAAAAATTTCTTTCTTTGTTTCTTTTCTTTTAGTTCTTTATTTTATTTCTTTCACCTTTTCCTTTCTTTTCCTATTTTCTTATTCCCTTCTTATATTTCCTTCCTTCCTAGCTTTCTTCCTTTCATCTCCTTTACTTTAATCTCCTTTCTTTCGTCATCCTTTCTTTCTTCGTTGCTTACTTATTTTCTTATTTTCTTATTTTGGCTTATTTTCTTATTTTCT